CTGAGAACCTCCAGCAGGGTGGGGACAGAAGGAGGGGGCTGGAGGAAGAGTCTGAAGCTGGCTGTTGGGATCTGTTTTGCAGCTGGGGCTTAGGGGATGCTACTGTCTGACTGCGTCCCGTGAATTCATGTTGAAACTGACTATGCAATGGTGTTAAGAGGTGGGGCTTTAGAAGGTAATTCAGCTGTGGAACCCTCAAGGATGGGACCAGCCCTTATAAAGAGCTTGAAGGAGTGGGTTCCCTCTCTCTGCCCCTCCCCATGTGAGGAGACACCAACAAGGCTCCCTAGTGGAAGCAGAGAGCAGCCCCTACCAAACACCAAACACTGGCATCTTGATTTTTGGATTTCCCGGCCTCCAGAACCTGTTCTATCCATTGCCCATCTGTGGAATGTGGTACAGCGGCGTGAAGGGCCCAAGTTCCTTTTGCTTGGCTTTCAACACTCCCTCCTCCTGCCTGGTGGCAGAAACCTTCAGGGCCAGCGCTGCGGAGCAGCAGGGGAAGCCACTGCTTGCGCTGAGCACATCTCATATTGGAGCACGGGTTTGAGTCCTGGCTGCTCCACTTCCTCTCCAGCTTCCTGCTAATGCACCTGGGAAGGTAGCAAGTGCCAGGGTCCCTGACACTCATGTGGGAGACCAGGATGGAGTTCCTGGCTCCCAACTTTGGCCTGGCCCAGCCCTAGCTCTTAAAGCTATTTGAGGAGCAAATCAGTGGATGGAAGATTTTCTCTTTCCCTTTCTCTGTTGCTCTACCTTTAAAAAAAAAAAAAAAAAAAAGCAAGTCTTTACAATTAATGATTAAAGTGCTCTATGTAGGCCAGCTGTGTTCTCAGGAAGCCGATCAGCAGGCTAAGGGACCACGTGCTTTAGGACGACCGTTCATCTTCCTGGTGAAGTCTCTCCCAGGAGTTCAAGACTGAATGTCTGGGCTTCTGGTCCGGGCTAGAGCTGAGGGATCCAGTCATGAAACCCCAAGGCCCCATATCTCAGTCCCGAAGGCCACCGAGGGCCCGTGTCACCCCAGCATCTCGTCAATATTCTCCAGGAGCTGGAGCACCAGTCGTGGGACAAATGGGAGCCCTGCCTGCCTCCCCGCCCCAGGTTCCTGTATTCTCAAATGGTCCCCATATTTGCTTTGGGAAAACTGCAAGTTTTTAAAATAAATATGTGAACTGTATGATACTAACCGTTGCATTTAAACCATGCTATTTTTTTTTAATTTTTTTTATTTATTTTTTTTTTTTTATTTTTTGACAGGCAGAGTGGACAGTGAGAGAGAGAGAGAGAGACAGAGAGAAAGGTCTTCCTTTTGCCGTTGGTTCACCCTCCAATGGCCGCCGCGGCCGGCGCGCTGCGGCCGGCGCACCGCGCTGATCCGATGGCAGGAGCCAGGAGCCAGGTGCTTTTCCTGGTCTCCCATGGGGTGCAGGGCCCAAGCACCTGGGCCATCCTCCACTGCACTCCCTGGCCACAGCAGAGAGCTGGCCTGGAAGAGGGGCAACCGGGACAGAATCCGGCGCCCCGACCGGGAATAGAACCCGGTGTGCCGGCGCCGCTAGGCGGAGGATTAGCCTAGTGAGCCGCGGCGCCGGCCTAAACCATGCTATTTTGTGAGAAACCGCACACTCCGCGGGCGAGAGCGCCCAGCTCTTTGCGTGTGTGATTAATGCAGGGTCCCCTCTCCCATCCTCCTTCCTGCCTTCCCCTCCTTTCAGTCCTCTGCTTCCTTCTGACAACCCCAAGGGACCGCCATGGCGACTGCTCAAGCCATTAACAGGAGATTTGAGATCAGGCAGCTTGAAAGCCTCCGGCGAAAGCGGCTGCCCCCGGGAGAGGCAGACTAATTGGGATTTGGTGCAGAGGAGAGATTCTGTTTCTCGCTGGAGCCCCACGGGAGCAGTGGTGGAGTGCTTTGTCCCTCGATTGAATTGAGACCGAGGACTGTGACTTCCAGGAGGCCTTGGAGCAGCCACCTCGAGTGCCCGACTCACACCCCTTTGCCCACATCCTGATTTCCAGTGTATCTAATGGGGGCCTCCACGGGTTGCCTTACGGACAGTCTCTTCTTCCTCTTGGCTTGGAGGTGTAGGGGAGTTGAGAACACCCAGGACAACCCTTGAGGGATGGGAGGTGCAGATCCACGCTACACACAAGCCTGTGTGCCATGCTTGGGGTGGACACGGCGCTTCTGAGAGGCACCCATGGTCTTCTCAGGAGACCCCAGAAGCGTGGGGTAGCGCCCTCCAGGAGGGAGCGCAGGCTGCCTCTCTCTGCCTCCCTAACTTGCGGTCACCACACTCTCCCTGGCTCGCCTGTCCAAAAATCCTTGCCCAGACTCCTTTCAAGAGAAACCACACCAGTCAGAGCTGCCAGAGACCTGCCATGGAGGAGTGGACCCCAGCCTGGCCCTGGAAGCTGTGTATAAGCTGGCAGCTTTCCTCCCCGGAGCAGGCAGCAATTAGCAAACATCAAAGGTCGCTGACAAACCCAGCAGCAAAGGGAATCAGCCTACTCCCTGGGACTCACAGGACGTGTCCTGCATAGGGGACAGCGTCTTTCAGGTTAAAAGGAACAGAAACTTGAAACTTGAGTCCAGCCACCCAGGGTGCCTCCAGCAGTCCCCACGCAGCCCCATCAGACTCCTCCTCCTGGCTTGACCCAGTGGCCCAGCCCTACACGTGAGGAAGTGCAGTCTTCGTGCCGAACCTCGGGCCACCATCTCTTCTTTCCACATCTCCCAGCCTGGTCCCAATCTTCCATTCATTCGTCAACCAACACCGACCCTGCAGCGTACCTGCCCGAGGGACCGCAGGTCGTCATCTTGGGATAATCTGACTCAGATATTTACTGGTGACGTCAGCAGTGGGCAAACACAGCCTTGGGCATTCACCCATCCATGTCCTCACCATACCACCAGAGCCAGCCTCCAGGAAGCCTCATGTCCCACCTTCAGCCCAGCTACACTGTCTCGGGCCACCCTGGGACCACCCCTTCAGCTAGAGCCCAGCCCTGCTACCTTCCACCCTGGCCCTGAGCCCCACGTCTCTCCTGCCGGAGGAGCCCGGCACCCAGCTGGGCCCTGGGCAGAGACAGCCTGGGGTAGGCAACGCAGAAGTGAGGGCCGCTGGGTGGGGAGGGGGCAATGGCCCCCACCCCCACTACTTTTTATTCCTGTGGCGGGGGAGCTGTGCCATTCAAGGAGCTCGGGCACCCTGGGCAAGGGCGAGGGCGTCACAGGCTAGAATCCGCAGGCTGGAAGTATCACCCCAGGGTGTCATCATCCTTCTCTGTGGCCCTCCCTGTGCACCCTAGAATTCTCCATTGCCTTGAGACTCTTTCCCAGATCTTTCTTAGCGTCGGGGAAGAGGGAGTTAAAGGAAATGTACAAATCAATGGCACCAATCTCCCAACACAGAGTCTACTATTCGGATTCCCAGCCCCAGGGTCAGGCCCAGCCTGACCTCCCCAACAGCTGGGCACTGTAAGCCCCACCCCCCCTTCCCGAGCCTCCAGCCCTGGGAGGCTTCCACGGCTTCCTGCTTCCCAGCACACAGGGCCCCTGAGCCAGCAGAAAGTCTCCGAGGTGCCAACTCCCGGCTGCTCTGGGCTTTTGCTTCTCACGTGTTAGCCCAGGTGAAAGCCGCAGCACTGTCCAGGGGCCGCTGTGCCAAGGGCCTTTGTCCCAAGCAAGCTGGTAAGTGTGGCTGCCCGTGGCCTACAGCCCCTGACCTGGAAACCGGGCCCCAGAAAGACTGTGGGGGCAGGGGAAGAGCTGGGGAGCCTCAAACAGCCCCGCCCTTGTCCTCACACAGCCCTGTGGGGCCCCGAGACCCCGAGCTCCCATCCGCTGGTGCAGCCGCCAAGCAGAGGGTGGTGTGAGGGGCACAGCACCAGGGCCCGCCCTTCTCTCTGCCCACCCCCCTCACGTCCAGGGCGAAGCCTGCCCCCAGCCTGGGGCTGGACTCCCCGGCACTTGCTACAGGCTCTCCGCCTCACCCACTACCTGCTGTTAAGGGAGGTGGAGTCCTTTTTAGGATTGTGTTCACCAGGTGAGCACCACAATGCACACATGGCTTGTAGTCAACAAGGACTCACAACATGGACCCCTCCCCAGGAGGCAGGAGGCGGCGGCGCTGGGAGGGGCTTGCCCAGGTTGGAAGCTGCCCTCTGGACTGGCTTAAGACAAGACCAGCAGATGGCAAGAGATGGCTCCTTGGGGCCACGGAGGACACAGCTTCTCAACTCTGCTGAATCTTGGCTGCAGAAGGACGGCGCCATGAACAGGACAAGAAAACGAGACTTTTCCAAGAGGGCGGTCTCTGGGCCTGCCCCCAAAAGGCTTGTCACTCTCTTCTATCCAATTACAAGTTCTCAGGGCCCAGTGCTAACCTCAGCCTGTGGCACCGGAATCCCATATGGGCACAATTCGTGTCCTGGCTGCTCCTCTTCTGATCCAGCTCTCTGCTAATGAGCTTGGGAAAGCACTGGAAGATGGCCCAAGTGCTTGGGCCCCCACACCCGTGTGGGAGACCCAGAAGTTGTTCCTGACTCCTGGCTTCAGATCAGTCTGGCTCCAGCTGTTGTAGCTATTTGGAAAGTGAACCAGCGAATGGAAGACCTTTCTCTCTGTTTCTCCCTCTAACTCTGCCTCTCAAATAAATAAGTAATCTTTAAAAAAAAAAAAAAAACAAATTGGAAATTCTCAGCCTGGAATTGTACACAAGACTGTGTGTGACTATTTTTTCTTCAGATACTCAAAGGCCTGTGTGACCCAAAGAATGTGAAACATTAAGAGCCTCGTGAACCCCAGGGAGAACCCAGAATCCGTCACAGCCCCCACCAGTCCCCACGGCCTTGCTCAGCCCCCAACAGAGCCAGCTCTGAGTGTGGAGCGCAAAGCCTGCTGGGAAGCCACGCACCCAGGCCCCACCAGCGTGGGAAACACCTGTCCCCAGCCATCCTGCCCCTGACTCCACCCTTGCCAGGAACGTCCAGGGCACATTTGAATTTATTTTAGGAAAAACGTGTCCAAAGCAACAAATTACAGAGAGAAGCAGCTGAGACCCCCACCCCTACTCTTTGCCCTTGAAGTTCCCCCAAAGCACCAGCCCCTGAAACCATTCAGTCCCACACACGGCCCCACACCAAGGTCCACCGAATGCCCTGGCCACGTGCAGGAGGCGCCTGCCTCCTCAAGCCTTGGATGAGTGAGTCCCCAAACCACCGCGGCTGCCACCGCTGCTGCTTCCATCCCAAGCCAGGCCCATGGTGGCACAGCCACGCCCAGCCTCTCAGAGCCGAGGGGAGAAGCCGGCCACCGCGATGCTCTCGCCGGTGATGTAGCTGGCATCTGGGGAGCACAGGAAGGCCACAAGTCCCGCGCAGTCCTCCGGCTGCCCGATCCTGGAAGCAAAGAGAACGCATCAGGGCCCGTGTCGCACCCTGCTTCTGCTGCTCTGGGCTCACAGGCCGCAGGCAGGAGTGGGCTCCACAGGGGACAGGGTGGGCTCAGCGGGGTGACCCGCACTCCAGGTGTGGACTCCAGGCTTCATGGACAGGGAGGGGTCTGACCCCGAGACAGACTCAGAGGCCCCGCCCAAGGTGGACCCAGATCCCTTGCTCCCAACCCTACTTGCCTCTGCAGCTTCTGGTTTTCCTTAAAGAGGTTCCAGAAAGCCTTGTTTTTGTGTAACTGGGTGGAGGGAAGAGAGGAAGAGTCAGTGCAACTCACACAGGGAGGTGGGCAGGGCACCTGCAACAGGTTGGCCCTTCTCCAGAGAGGCAGCTGCTTCTTGGGGTCAGTGGACTGGCCCGTGGCTGGGCCCAGAGGGCAGGGAAGAGCTCAGCCAACAGGATGCTGCCCCGGGGCCTCCATCACCCACTTTATCCCTTAGCCACTGAGCCAGGCGGGAGGATGCAGGTCACACCCCCCGTCCTCACCACTTTGCTGAAGTCCGTCTCAATCAGCCCTGGGACGAGGCAGTTCACCCGGATGTCCCTGGGGGCCAGCTCCAATGCCAGGGTCCTGGTGAGGCCCAGCAGGGCAGTCTTGCTGATGTTGTAGGCTCCCAGCTCCTGCCAAGGGAAGTGAGAGAGTGGTTCAGATATGGGGGAGTGGAGGTAAGCATCAAGCGATCGCTCCCTGCCGATAGCTCCCAGCCAGCCCCGACTCGCTCAGCCCGGCCTTGTCACAGAGCAGAAGCGGGATGCGAGGGATCCAGGACAGCAGGACCAAGCCAGGGGGTCTGAGCCAGGCCAAAGCTGCCCTCGCTGCACCCCAACCAGAGCAGAAGAGCCAAGCACTTACCACATGAGGCATGTACGCCGAAATGGAAGAGACCAGGACGACGGCAGCGCTCCTGAGAGAGACAGACGGACACGGAGGAGAGGTGAAGCTACCACTTACCGTGGATGGAGGCCCGCAGCAGTCACTAAACCTCACTACAGCAGTGCAGGCCCTGCGGCTAGCTCCATTTCCTAGCTGAGGAAACGGGTTCAGAGAGGTTTAGTAATGGCCGATGAGAGGCAGAGCGGGGGCTCCAACCCTAGCTCCTGTGAACAGTGTCCGCACTCAGAACCATTCAGCTCTTCTAGCTCTTTCTGGGGAGGAGATGAGCAGAAAGCCAGGGCAGAGTGGGCTTGGGGAAGAGCTACCCAGGGCTGAGGGTGAATGCATATCAATGGAGAAGGAGACAAGAAATGATGGTCAGGAACTCCTACCCTAGACAGCCTCTAACCAGTTCCTAAAGGCTGTGAGTGTCTCTCTCTCTCTCTCTCTCTCTCTCTCTCTCTGTGTGTGTGTGTGTGTGTGTGTGTGTGTGTGAGAGAGAGAGAGAGAGAGAGAGAGAGAGAGAGAGAGATTTGTGTTCATGTGAGCACAATCGGATTTGTGTGAGCACATTGGCTACGCAAGGAGTACAGTCAATTTTGTGCATGAAGAATACAACCAGATTGGTAAGGAGTACAGTCAGATGTGTGTGAGAGGGGTACAGTTGGACTTGCAGGACTTGGAACGGAGGAAGGCTTGTCGGAGGTGGTTCTCCGTGGGGAGAGACAGGGCAAATTCTGTCAAATGCTTGAAGTTGGGGTGGGGGAGATTACTGAGCTGTGAGAAGACCAGAGTGTAGATGGGACGAGAGTAACCAGCCCCTAGGTGAGGGAGCTGAAGCACAGCCCCCTCCTCCATCTGGCAATGCCAAGGCCAAGGAGAGCAAGCCTGGGCCCCTGGACCATCCCCCTCATCCTGTAGCTGCTGGATTAGAAAAAGCAGCCACACACAAGTGCCAGGCAAGGCACAGGGAGCTGGGGGAATCTGGGGACCCCCAGAGAGACCTCCGATGTCTTCACACTCCCCTGGCTGTGCCATTGGGTGTCCTCCACACCCGACTCCTACTCCTCAGTCTCAGGACTCCCACTAGCCCGCACCCCCAGCCTGCAGCCATACCCCCTCCGCTCCATGTGGGGCAGCAGCAGGCTCAGGAGCAGAGCTGGGGACTTCACGTTCACGCTCAGGATCTGGAATCAGACAAGGGGTGTGGGGGAGAGCGGAGAGACTCAGCCAGAGGTCCCAGTGTGCCCAGTAACCCAAAGGTGCAGAGGTGAGAGGCCAGACACCCTCAGGACCCGGGCAAGAGGGGTTTCCAACTTGCTAGTGGCTGCACAGGCAGGCGGGCCATGTGGTAGGCCTGCGAACTCAGCCCTGGAAAAATGAACCACACAGGATGAGAGGGAAGGACAGAAATGCCCAAGCCCTTTAAGAAACCAGACCACGTCTGGTTGTGCAAAGAGAACTTTTAAGGGGCCGGTGCTGACATAGTGGGCTAAGCCTCCGCCTGCAGCACCAGCATCCCATGGGCGCCGGTTCGAGTCCCAGCTGTTCCGCCTACGATACAGCTCCCTGCTAATGCACCTGGGAAAGCAACAGAAGACGGCCCAAGTGCTTGGGCCCCTGCCACCCACGTGGGAGACCTGGATGGAGTTCCAGGCTCCTGGCTTCAGCCCGGACATTGCAGCCACTTGGGGAGTAGACTAGCAGATAGAAGATCTTTCTCTCTCTCTTCCTCTCCCTCTCTTTCTCTCCTTCTCTCTAATTCTGCCCTTCAAATAAATAAAATGAGTCCTTAAAAAAAAAAAAAGCAGCAGCAGCAGCAGCTGTAAGCAGAGGCCACTGGGAAGGGAATGAAGGCAGAGCAGACGGAGGGGAAGCAGGTGCCGGGAGCCAGGGAGCATTCCGGGAAAGCCATCTCTTCTCCCTGTGCTTTGTCTATGTTCTTGCCTTGTCCCAGTAGAATGTAATGCAGCCAGACAAGACAAACCAAATGGGTAGTGTGTAAGAAGAAATGGAGAATAGGAAAACCCCGGGTGATGCTGGTACTCACAGTTCCCAGCACAGGGTCGGGACTTGGCCCAGGACAAGGTGTGTGGGAAGGTGTCTCCCTCCCAGGACATCTCCTGAAAAATCACACTCTGTGGAAAGCAGAGCATCTGGTAAACCCCGAACTCATTTGGTGACAATGTCAGCTCCAAGGTGCTGGCACGCGTGCTCGGGGGCCCAGCAGGGCAGAACTGCTTGTGGAATAGCCAGTCCTTGGAGCGTAGAAAAGCCCCTGAGAAAGTCCACTCAGGCTGTGAGCCTGCAGCCCCAGCTTCAGGAGGGAAGATTTCTCTCAGTTCAGAGCAAGAGTCACGATGCCTTGAAAAGACGTTAACAAAGCGAATGATTCAGGAAGGCTGGGGGAGCGTCAGCCACGCGCTCCTGGCTCCAGCCTCACAAATGGTCTTCCAGAGGCATTAGGAGCCCAGCTAAGGAGCCTGGGGAGGCTGCTCCGCAGCGGCTGCAGGGAGCTCAGATTTCAGGTCATCTGCGAGGATGGAGCTGAGGGCACCCAGCCAAGGGCACAGAGAAGGGCGGGGCCAGCCACAGGGTGGCCGTGGTGAAGGGGATGCAGGAGCTGCAGGCAGCTGCTCTGGCCAGGTGCTCCGGGAGCGGGCAGGAGGCCTTGCAAACAGGAAGAATGAGAGTCCGTCCACATCCTCTTAGCTGTCCCAGGGAATTGAGAGCAAAACACATGAATGCATGGGGGTTGGAGGATATTGCAAAGCCCAAGGTGAACTTCAAAGTGTCTTACAAGGTCTCTGCTGGACCCTTGTGGACAAGGTGACAGAATGGGAATTGGACTCAGAGTGGGCTGGGTTGCCTGAGCCCAAGGAAAGCTGAGGGCTGAGCCCAGTCCTAACAGTGGGTCTATCCGAGGGACACCGGCAAGCCCTAAGCAAGGAAAGGCAGAGTCTCAGAAACAGGTGCAGGTCACCAATGAGGGGCACAATGACCAATAAATGCCCCCACAAAAGGCTGTAGCAAGCGCACATTCAGGGCCGGAGCTGTGGCATGGTGGGTAAAGGCGTCACCTGCAGTGCCAGCATCCCATATGGACGCCGGTTCGAATCCTGGCTGCTCCTCTTCTGATCAGCTCTCTGCTATGGCCTGGGAAAGCAGCAGAGGATGGCCCAAGTCCCTGGGCTCCTGCACCCATGTGGGAGACCTGAAAGAAGCTTCAGGCTCCTGGCTTGGGATTGACCCAGCTCCAGCCGTTGCAACCATTTGGGAAGTGAACCAGCAGATGGAAAATTCTCTCTCTCTGCCTCTGCTTCTCTGTAACTCTGCTTTTCAAATAAATAAATAAATTTGGGGGAAAAAAAAAAGAGGGCACCCTTCCTGGACTCTTACATGGGTGCTCTTTGTGCGCACCCATGGGTCCATCCCCAGGACCTGCACCAGCACCCGGCACACAGCAAGCTCTCAGTGGATATTTGCTGAGTGAACAAATGCAAAAGAAGAGGGCCGAGAAAAGCAAGCAGGAGTGCAGGAGCCAGAGTTACAAACCAACCAACTGGACAGCAGCATCAGGGCACGTTCCGGGGGACGAGTGGTCAGGTCCGCACCCAGAGCCTGCTTTTCAGCAACCTCAGGAGGTGAGGGGTGCAGAGGAGGAAGGGAGAGCCTTGGGGGGACCGGGCATACCAGCACGGAGCTGGCCTTGCAGCCGCACCCAGCCAGCTCCCCAGGGGCCTCTCACCTTGTCCCACACCTGCTCGCTGGCCCCCAGCGTGCTCCCCACCAGAGGGTTGACAGCAGCATTGCACACCAGGAAGTCCACACCTCCCCAGTGCTCCAGGGCCTGAGGGAGAAGGGGCTTGGGTGAGTGTGGAGTTGGCCTGAGGAGGCCTTTTGCCTTCCCAGGTGGCCCAGAGCTGGGAGGAGGCACAGAGGCGAAGCTTGCTGATCGGCCACCAGCAGGGCTCATGAAGCTGCCTGGAAAAGCAAACTCTTGGGAAGGAAAGTGTCCCGGATGAGCCCGGGCAGGCTCCCCAGGCCGAGACCCCAGAGGACAGGGGCTTCTGCAAGAATCCCGGTCTCCGCTGGAGGCTTCCGCCACCCTCCTCCGCAGCCGTAGCTCTCCCAGGGGTGGGGGCTGGCGGGACCAGGGTGCTCTGGTAAATAGGCCATTTCCAGTGAGCCACTGGGAGCAAGCACGCTGCCTGGCCAGACCGTGAGCAGTCACGGTCTCAGGACCTGCTCACGAGGCTCCGCGTCCCCAGTCCCCGTCCTGCCCCTCCCAGGGCTGAGCAGGGAAGGAAGGATTCTGCGTGTCATCCTTTCTGTGTCCCCCCGCCCCCCGCTGGCCACCCACCGTGGCCACCAGCCTCTCCCGGTCCTCAGCCTTCCCCACGTGGCACACGGTGCCCGTCACACTCAGCCCCTCGCCCTGCAGCGCAGCCACCGCCCGGTCCACGTTCTGCTGCTTCCGGCTGCTGATGACCACGTGGGCCCCATCCTGGGCCAGACGCCGGGCGATGGCCAAGCCGATCCTGCGGGCAGAGACGGAGGACTCGGGTCAGCCTCTGTGGAGACCCACAGAGACGGCTGCCTGATAACCCTGAATCCCCTCCCTGCCCCCAGAACCAGTGGCCCTGAGGCCACCAGGGCACTCACCCGGCGGTGGACCCGGTGACCACAGCCACTCGGTCAGCCAGGATGCGCTTGGGGGCTCTCACACTGCTGTGCATCCTCACAAAGAGCCCAGCACTGGGACGACACAAACTCCAGGGCGCCCGGGCCACTGCACGCAGCATGTTCCCTGCTGAATCCGCCCTGGAGAGAGTCAATTTCACGTATCACTGATGCAGCCGGTGAGCCTGCCGGGTAATCTACCCCGGACTCCTCCAGCAGAGAGCCAGGCTGGGCCCTGCGAATTTCAAACACCTGAGCCTCAAGTCAGGCAGCCAGTCCATGAAATTGCCCAGCTGGGAAGCTGACCTGGAGCATGTGAGCCCCAACACTCAGTAGACACCCCACCAGCAAGCCCTGGGCTTCCTCCAGCGGCAGGCACCAGGCACCAGGCAGTAGACACCAGGACGGTGGGTGAGTGGTAGATCTGGTCCCAGATGCCACCCATGGCGTTTTCCAAGCCAGGTGAGGGTGCCGAGCACCAAATAGTCACACCAGTTAGCAATTTAAATGAGCTGCCTCCAGTTGAAACAAGTAAAATCAACAGAAACTCTCACTCATCACTAGATGGAGGGTAAGTATAGTCACTTGAGAAATCAGATTGGCATCATGTGGGAAAGCTGGAAATACAGAGCTCAGATTCTGCGGAGGGACATCACACACAGCAGTAAGAGGGTCATGTGTGCGCCCAGAGACTGCACACGTGTGTGCATGGCAGCATGCTACCAGGGACGCTAACAGGAAACAAGTCTGCATGCCACTCTGGTAGAATGGTAAATAGAGTTGTATTTATATATTGGAATACTATACAGCAATGAAAATTAGTGAGCTGAAGCTACACTAAGCAGCATAAATGAATTTTGAAAGTCTATCACTGAGTGAAAAAGGCCAGACACAAAGCATATATGCTGGATCATTCTACGAGTTTCAAAAACAGCCAAAATGACTATGGTGGTTAGGAATATAAAAGGTGAGGGGAGGCATTTGGTACAGTGGTCACGACCTGAAACATGTGCATCCCACAGCATGGTGTCTAAGTTCAGGTCCTGGCTCCGCTTCTGATTCCCGCGTCCTGCTAGCGTGCACCCTGGGAGGCAGCAAGCACTTGGAGCTCTGCCACCCACATGGGAGACCTGGACTGAGTTCCAGGCTCCTAGCTCTGGCCTGGCCCAGCCCCGGCTGTTACAGATTAAAGCAACGGGTGGAAGATGACTCTCCCTTGCAAATAAAATAAAAACAAAGATGATTTTAAAATGAATGCAAATATGTGACAAAAATACAGAGACATGCAAGACAGTATCTATAACAAAAGGCAGGGGCATGGGTATTTCTGAGGCAAAAGGAAGTTATGATCAGAGGAGGGACAACCAAAGGGATTCTGGGTACTGGCCATGTTGTGTGGGTTTTTTTTTTCTAAAGATTTATTCATTTATTTGAAAGTCAGAGTGACAGAGAGGCAGAGGTAGAGAGAGAGGGGGGTCTTCCATCTGCTGGTTCACTCCCCAAATGGCTGCAATGCCCAGAGCTGAGCCTATCCAAAGCCAGGAGCCAGGAGCTTCTTCTAGGTCTCCTATATGGGTGTAGAGGCCCAAGCACTCGGACCATCTTCTACTGCTTTCCCAGACACACCAGTAGGGAGCTGGCTCATAAGTGGAGCAGTCGGGACTCTTACTAGTGCCCATATGGGAGGCCGGCACTACAGGCAGTGGCTTTACCCGCTATGCCACAGCACTGGCCCCGTGTTGTGTTTTCTAAGCAGATGGTGTTACATGGTGGCCGTGTGTGTGCGTGTTTGCATATCCTTTTTACTTTCTATGTGCTGTATGTCACAATAAAAAAAATTTAAAAAGTAAAGATGGGGGCTGGCTCTGTGGCACAGTGGGTTAAAGCCCTGACCTGCAGTACCAGCATCCCATATGGATGCCAGTTCAAGTGCCAGCTGCTCCACTTCCGATCCAGCTCTCTGCTGTGGCCTGGGAAAGCAGTAGAAGATGGCCCAAGTCCTTGGGCCCCTGCACCTATATAGGAGACCTAGAAGAAGCTCCTAGCTTTGGCTCCGCTTTGGCCATTACAGCCTTTTGAGGAGTGAACCAGCAGATGGAAGACCTCTTTCCCTCTGTCTGTCTCTATCTCTCTAACTCTGTCTTTCGAATAAAAAAAAAAAATCTTAAAAAAAAAGTAAAGACTATCTGCTCGTGGCCAGTTTAAAAATTCAAACAGATCGAGATTAGCTCAAAAACGAAATCTCCCAATTCCCTACTCAGAAGCAAATGTGCCAGGGTCTCAAATACTTTTGGTTGAAACAATTAAGTTCCCCTATTAGAAATCTTCAATTCACAAAGGCTTCCCTGGGAATATCCAAGCCAGAAAGCAGAGACACAGGAATGAGGCGGCTCCAGAACCAAGGCAAGCTCCTTGGGTGGGCGCTGCGGCACACAGCGGGAGGCCGCCGGCATCCCATATCTGACTGCCGGTCTGAGTCCTGGCTGCTCCTCTTCTGATCCAGCTTCCTGCTAATGCGCCTGGCTAGGCAGCAGAGGATGGCTCAAGTGCTTGGGCCCCTGCCACTTGTATGGGAGACCAGGCTGGAGTTCCTGGCATCTGGCCTAGACCTGGCTGTTGGAACTGTTTGGGGAGTGAACCAGCAGACCTCTGTCTCTCTCCATTTCTTTCTCTATTGCTCTGTCTTTCAAATAAATAGATAAATCTTTCTGCGTGGGGCTGGGGCCGGGGGGAGGGAAGGTGGACTCCCTGAGACAGGCTCCACTCCCCATCCCAGGCCCTCACACACGGCGCTCAGCCAGGTGAGGAGTGCACAGCAGGACACAGGCTTGGGCTGTGGGAAAAGACCACCAGGCCGGTTGCGGATAAACTGGATGTGAAGGTAGAAGAGGGATTTGACCGGCAAGTGGCAGGATGGACGCTGCAGTCTCAGGGGACCAGCTAAGAGGAAGAAAGAGGGATGAGAACATCAAGAGTGTTTGGGAAAGAGGAGGAACTGCTGTGTACCTGCTGTTCTAGAACATTCTAGAACAGAGACATGACTGAGACAGCAGACTGTGGCTCTGGATAGCTGAAGGGAGGCTGCACAGAGCAAGGGTCGGTCACAGCAGCCCCAGGCAAGTGCAGGGTGGGAACCTGGCCCCTAAGATGTCCCCAGAAAGGAAGAGGCAGGGGCTGTGGGCATGCACAGGTGTGAAGGCACGGTGACCACCAGGCATGGAGAGACTCAGGTATAAGACGATGCGCTGTGGACAGGGGGAATGCTGGAGATGCTGTCTAGGGACCCTCTTAGACCCAACCCCAAATTCCCCAGCTCCACATCAGTGTCAGCCCCGAGGCCCCTGCCTCCCTCATATCTGCCCCCTCCTGAAATCTACAGGCCACGGTGTGTGTGTTGGGGGGGGGGGGGGAGTCATTAGAGCAAGGGATCAGCAAGGACACTCAGGGACCCGGGGTGTGGTTTTCACACGAGCCAGCACGGGGCGGGTGCAGGGAGGGGGCTCTGTCTGCAGCTCTGGGCCCAGGGAGGAGGCACTTTCAGCAGACACGCATCAATTCCAGACCTGCTCTGGCCACTCCATCACCCAGGATTCCTGGTTACTAAGCAACCCTGCCTTACCTCCTGCATCTCCCCTCGTTCCTTAGCAACCCTTACATAACCCAGTTCCCTCGAGTTAGGGGTCGGTGTCTATAAATTACAAGTGAATGGGTGCCGCTCAAGAACTGTGGAGCAACGCTAGAGGAACCAGCGTCGGTGCTCAGGTCACAGTGGAAGCCACCGACGCTGTCGCCTGAGCAGCGGCAGCCTCCGTTCCCCGTTTATCTTCTGATATTGTATTTGCACAGCATCCTTTGCAGGTGCCGTTCCTCCCAGCTGCTCGCTGCCTGTTCCTCCCAGCTGCTCGCTCTCTCGCTCTCTCGCTCTCTCGCTCTCTCACTCTTTCTCCTTTCTGCAAGGTCATATCCACAGCCTCGCCCTTCCACGGGGTGAGGAGCCGGGGCGGTTTCTCCTCCTGATTGGCCCACCTTCCCTAAGCAGGACAGTGGGTTCTAAACAGTGCTACGCCCCGCGGGCGCCTCCAGCCCCAAGCCTGAGCGCACATTAACCCCCTATGGAGGGTGAGGGGGATCCAGTCTCCTTGGCAGCGAGGGCAGCCGGGAAAAGCGGACTCTCGTTTTTTTTGTCGGGACATGACACCCCCTGCTGGAAGGCCGGAGCAATAGCACCGCCAAGAAGCGTGGCGGTTTTCCCGCGGCGGAGGCCGGCGCTCGGGCAGCGTTACAGCTGGGGGCGGTTTGAACTTGCCTCAGGGTGGTCCTGGGGAAAGCTCGCCTTTTGCGAGGAAAAGCAGCCCCGACCTGTTGCAGGCCTGCGGAGAGGAGATCAGGCCTCATCCTGATCTCAAGAACTGTTCCCCCTGCTTCCCCTTCCCCTTCAAAGCCCCCTTGGCATCCCCTGGGAGAGGGAGCAGCCGCCCAGGGCTCAAGGTCATCCTCCCGTCACTCACTCACTCACTCACTGGTACTTACTCCAGCCCAGGCGGGCATGACCACAGGCTCAGCTTAGAATGCCCAGGGTGATATCCCTCCCCATGCCAGTCCATTCAGACCCAAATATGGGAGTGGGAAAGCCAAATGGACTCCCCTCACCCCCAAACACACACACACACAGCCCCATCTTGGAGGTGGACGGCCTCAGCACTGGGTCCTAGAGAGAAGAGAAGGGCAAAGGAAAAGAAAACAAAGATCAGGGACGAGGGAGAACCAGAGGCCGGGCACAGCGGGGGTCCCTGGGAAGGAGAGACTAAGGAGCTGTGGACAGATGCTCTGTGATAGCGATGGCGGGCAGGCTCTTGCAGCTTAGGAGGAGGAGGGGCTGCCCTGGATGGTCCTAAGGGCCTGAGAGCCCCCAGAACTTCATTGGGAAGACCAGAGAAGTGAAGCCTGCCCAGCGGACACACGGCCAGGAGAAAGGACTACCAGCCCAGAAAGGGGGAAGGAGTGAAGGCGAGTGCGGTCGCCGCTCTGGCGTGGGGCAGACGGGCTCAGGCCACACTGTCCCTGCCCTGGGCTCAGTGGCCCCGGCTGGTGCCGCCTACCTGGCTGCAGGTGAGAAGCGCCTCTGCGGGAGTCTGCGGCTGAGTGTGAGGAGGGAGGAAGCTGCGGGCTGCACAAGGCACTGCTGATTTCTATCTGGAAACCCCAGGATTCCCAGAATGTGTAGTCCCATTCCCAGAATCAGAGGGAGGCAGGGGAGGGGGGAGAGGGGGAGAGGCCTCACCCACAGCAGAGGAGGGAGAAAGTGCAGGACTTGAGGTGAGTCATGTACTGCAGACGCCACACGCACCACTCACCAGGGACCCTTCCCCGTGGTCTGGCTGCCCCCAGAGATGCTGTCATCTGGGGAAACAGACAGATGCGTGGGTCCAAAGCAGGCTCCAAGCCCCACTCTGTAAGCACAGGGTGGGACGGGCAGCTGCAGGCCCAGCTGGCTGGAGGGGCAGGGCTGGATACAAGGCCACAAAGAGGCCACAGGCCCCAGCCCCAAAGCTTCCCTAGGTCAGGGCCCTAGCACCCTCCAGGACCCATGGCTGGAAAGCTCCAGGTGTCTGCACACCACCCAGGCTCTCACCTGTGCCCAGGTGTTTCATGAGCACCTACTTCATGCTAGGCACTGTGTCGAGAATGACAAATGCCAAAATAATGCAAGCACTGTGCCTTACAAAAATCCATTTTAAAAATGCTTGCAGTGGCCAGCGCCGCGGCTCACTAGGCTAATCCTCCGTCCGCGGCGCTGGCACACCTGTTCTAGTCCCGGTCAGGGCGCCGGATTCTGTCCCGGTTGCACCTCTTCCAGTCTAGCTCTCTGCTGTAGCCCCAGAGTCCAGTGGAGAATGGCCCAAGTCTTTGGGCCCTGTACCCACATGAGAGACCAAGAAAAGCACCTGGCTCCTGGCTCTGGCCGCAGCAGCCATTGAGGGGTGAACCAACAGAAAAGGAAGACCTTTCTCTCTGTCTCTCTCTCACTGTCCACTCTGCCTGTCAAAAATGCTTGCAGCCTATCAGGAAGTAGGTGTGAGGCTCAGGGGCACCACAGGCAAGCATGGGAAAGCCAAATGGAGAGGCACACGGTGTGTTCCCAAGGAGGTGGCCCTGCCATCGGGGAAAGCCGCCCAGAGCTCAAGAGAAGGGCAGAGGTCTTAGGGGGAAGCAGCTTCATAAAGTGGGTGACAGCTGCCAGGACTGAGGTTGTTGCCAGACTCTGCGATGACCTTGTCCCCTGCTGCTGGCACTCACACTGCATGCAGCCACCTGTCCCATCAGACCAGGTGGCCGAAGAAATGATCTGTCCATTACTTCTGAGATGAGGATACAAAAAATCAGGCATTCCGGCTTGGGCCTGTGCACTCTCAGATGGTGAGAAAACACATTTCCAAGGGGCTAAGGTTGAAGATGACTGGCTAAGTGGTAACAGTTAGATAATGAATATAGGAGCTTCAGAGAGAAGGAACCCACTAGTAAAGGAACCTTGGAGGGATAGGGTAGAAAATACTAAAATTAAAAAAAATTAATGGCCGGCACCGTGGCTCAATAGGCTAATCCTCCACCTTGTGGCGCCGGCACACCGGGTTCGAGCCCGGGTCGAGGCGCCGGATTCTGTCCCGGTTGCCCCTCTTCCAGGCCAGCTCTCTGCTGTGGCCCGGGAGTGCAGTGGAGGATGGCCCAAGTGCTTGGGCCCTGCACCCCATGGGAGACCAGGATAAGTACCTGGCTCCTGCCATCGGATCAGCGCGGTGCGGTGGTCATTGGAAGGTGAATCAACGGCAAAAAGGAAGACCTTTCTCTCTGTCTCTCTCATTGTCCACTCTGCCTGTCAAAAAAAAAAAAAATTAATGAAGCAGCCACAATTAAAGCCGGCATTGTCTGTTGTTACATGAACAGACAAAGGGGAGGAACAGAAGGGAAGCTCCAGAAATAGATGCAAACACATGTGGAAATGTAGCATAGGATAAAGGTGCTGTTGAAACCGACAAGAAGAAAAGATTGATTTTGTGATCAATAACAGATGTTGAGACAACTGGGTAGCTTTATAGAGGAAAGAAACGAAACTAGATTTGTGCCTTTCACGCTGCCTTAGTCCATCCTCTGTAGTTACAACAGACTATCTGAGACCAGGTAATTTAAAAAGAATACAGGCTTGGCTGGCGCCACGGCTCACTAGGCTAATCCTCCACCTTGCAGCGCCGGCACACCAGGTTCTAGCCCCGGTCGGGGCACCAGATTCTGTCCCCGTTGCCCCTCTTCCAGGCCAGCTCTCTGCTGTGGCCAGGGAGTGCAGTGGAGGATGGCCCAAGTATTTGGGCCTTGCACCCCATGGGAGACCAGGATAAGTACCTGGCTCCTGCCATCGGATCAGCGTGGTGCGCCGGCCGCAGCGCGCCGGCTGCGGCGGCCATTGGAGAGTGAACCAATGGCAAAAGGAAGACCTTTCTCTCTGTCTCTCTCTCTCACTGTCCACTCTGCCTGTCAAAAAAAAAAATAAATAAATAAAAAATAAAATCTAAGGATGTGTTGCTCTGAAGAAGTGTTGGCCATGGTGAAGGCTCCTGAGACAGAAGTGGGGACGGGGGGTGCGTGGACACCTCCCCAGGGGGACGGAGGGGGATGGGAGAGCCTCAGGAAACCCCCTGAGGTAGCCATGGCCTTAAGCAGCAGTGGGGTAGAAGGGCAGGGACCCGGGGCAGGTGTTGTGGCCCAGCAGGTAAGATGCTGCTTGGGGCACCCACATCCCATATCTGAGTGCTTGGGCTCCTGTCCACTCAGCTTCCAATTCACAGCTAATGCACCTGCGAGGCAGTGGGAGATGGCCCTGGTACTTGAGTCTCTGCCACCCACGTGGGAGATCCTGATGGAGTTCTAGGTTCCTGGCTTCGATCCGGTCTACCCTGGCCATGGTGGGCACCTGGAGAGTGAGCCAGTGGCTGGGAGATCGATCAGTCTTTCTCTCTCTCTCTCTTCTTCCTTCCTTCCTTCCTTCTTTCCTTCCTTCCTTCCTTCCTTCCTTCCTTCCTTCCTTCTTTCCATCCTTTCTTCCTTCCTTCCTTTCAAATAAATAAAACTTGGAAGGAAGGAAAGGAAAGGAGGGAGGGAGGGAGAAAGAAGGGAACCAGCTAGTGCCCAGACACATAGAAAATGCCAGCAGCCTTATGGTGGCTGCCGGAGTTAGGCAAGCCTGCCTCCAAAGGCGACCTTGGAGACTTCTGTGTGCTTAAACAACAGCAAATTCCCATTGCAACATTTTACAACCGCCTTCCGATTCCCCCCCCCCACCCCCCATTACCATAACATCATCCAGAAGGCCAGCTGCAGAGGCGTTCATCAGGAGAGCAGTCAGCCTGCAGGCGTGCCTCGGCCCCAGCACCCTCCCATCACAGCTTAGCCTAGCCTGTGTCGGCCCCGCACACAGGGCGTACGGCATGCTCCAGTGAGCCCAGGCCACCACGGATCCAGGCTGGACTCTACCTCCTGGCACCAAAGAGCCCTCCCCCAGGGAGTCCTCGCCTTCCACACAAAGACTCCCTTTCTCCCTTTATGAGATTGCCTGACATGCAAATAAAGATACAGGATGCCCAGTTAGCTTTGAGTTTCAGATAAACAACAAATAATGCCTTTTTTAAGAAAGATTTTATTATTTGAGAGGTAGAGTTACAGACAGTGAAGGGGGGGAGGAGAGGGAGAGAGAGAGAAAGAGAGAGAAAAAGAAAGAGAGAGAAAGAGAGAGAGAGAGAGAGGTTAACTCCCCAAATGGCCACAACGGCCGGAGCTGTGCTGATCCGAAGCCAGGAGCCAGGAGCTTCCTCCTGGTCTCCCATGCGGATGCAGGGCCCAAGCACCTGGGCCATCCTCCACTGCCCTCCCAGGCCACAGCAGAGAGCTGGACTGGAAGAGGAGCAACCAGGACTAGAATTGGTGCCCATATAGAATGCCGGCGCCACAGGTGGAAGATTAACCTACTGCACCACAGCGCCATCCCCAAATAATGCTTTAGCATAAGGATGTTCCAAATACTGCGTGGGACATATTTATACTAAAAAAAAAAATTGTGGTTTGTTTGAAATTAAGACTTAACTGTCTGTATTTTGTCTCATAGCTATATCCCTTATGATTCTCCAGTGAACAAGGACAGCAGCCTATCAACCTATATGAAACGATATTATAACTATTATATAAATATCACACATGAGCCAGGAAAAAAGTGAACACAAAATTTTTATTTTATTACTTGTTTGAAATGCAGAGTTACAAAGAGAGAGGGACAGAGAGAGAGAGAAAAATCCTCCATCAACTGTTTCACTCCCAAAATGGTCAGGAACCTGGAACTCTGTCCTGGTCTCCCACATGGGTGGCAGGGGCCCAAGCATTTGGACCACCTTCCCCATCTTCCACTGCTTTCCCAGGCTCATCAGCAGAGAGCTGGATTAGAAGTGGAGCAGGAGGGACTCAAACTGCCGCTCACATGGGATGCTGGTGGCACAGGCAGCCACTTAACCCACTGTATCACAAGGCAGAACCCCACAAAATATTCTTTTTTCTTTTGTTTTGCATGTGATTTTTAATTTCAGTTTTTTTAGCTTTTAACAGATTCAATATAGTTCACAGATACAATTCTAAGAATATGATATTTCCTTCCCCCCTCCCTTCCCCTCTCCTCTCTGCCTCTCTCCCCCTCTCTCCCTCCCACCTTGCCTTCATTTCTCTTTTTTCAGTTTTTGAGATAACGTTTTTAATCTATAAGTCAAGGGCTTAATGCTCCACCAAATAAAAAGATTAACATGTAAAAAGCCAAAAGGGGGCTGGCGCTGTGGCATAGCAGATTAAAGCCACTGCCTATAGAGCCGGCATCCTATATGGGCGGCAGGATCAGGTCCTGGCTGCTCCACTTCCTGTCCAGCTCTCTGCTATGGCCTGGGAAAGCAGCAGACGATGGCCCAAGTGCTTGGGCCCCTGCACCCGCTTGGAAGACCCGAAGAAGCTCCTGGCTCCTGGCTTTGGATCAACCCAGCTCCAGCCATTGCAGCCATTTGGGGAGCAAACCAGCAGATGGAAGACTTTCTCTCTCTCTCTCTCTCTGCCTCTCTATAACTCTGCCTTTCAAATTAATAAATACATCGGGAAAAAAACAACACTGGAGAAGATCAAGGTGACATATGAGAGCACCGTGGCAGGTAGAAAGGAGGCCCGCGCTCACGCTCCACAGAACTGTGCAGCAGAAATCTGATGAAGCCCGTGCTGCCCTCCCCTATGTGGACATAACAGTTTCTATCCTGAGGTCTCGTGCCAGAGCCCTGGAATAGTATTACAGCACTAGGTGAATTACAGCATCATTTTGAAACCAGTCATTCAGAGTTTAGAGAAAAAACTGAATGGACTATAATAAAGAAGGATAGGATCTCTTTCAGAGCTAAAGAGTCTTAGCTTTTTAACCTAGAAATGAACATTGCTGGAGCACCTTCCAGGGGAAGCTGTTGTATTGTGCTAGCTGGAGAGGCCCACACAGGCGCTGGGAGATAAGAAGGCTTTGTGAGCTGACATTGCCAAAGGCTTGCGGGATGAAAAGTCAGCGAAAGAAACCCAGGCACTGCCAACTCTACAGTGACACAGTCACTCGTCGGACTCTGGTGTCGCCGCAAGCACCAAGACTCAGCTCCCTGCATGTCTGAAGAGTTGTGCTTTTGCCTTACACATGGGGGTTTCTTTGTTTTCTTTTATTCATCCAGTATTGGCACCAATTAATGAAGTTTTTATAAAGTTTTTATTTCTTTATTTAAGAGGCCGAGTTACAGAGAGAAGGAGAGACAGAGAAGTCTTCCATCTGCTGGTTCACTCTCCAAATGGTCACAATGGCTGGAGCTGAGCCAGGCTGAAGCCAGGAGCTTCCTCCAGGTCTCCCACATGGGTGCGGGGGCCCAAGGACTGGGGCCATCCTCTGCTGCTTTCCCAGGCACATTAGCAGGGGGCTCGTTGGGAAGTGGAGCAGCTGGGACCTGAACCGGCCACAGCACCGGCCCCTTTTAATCATCAAAGATCTTCTTTCATATGAATACTTGGCAATGCGGACCAGCTGTGTGGGACCTCACGCTTTCTCCTACAACACTTTGACTATTCCCACCTGTGACACAAAAGCAATGGGTTAAACTGCTAGTGTCCATCACAAGTCAAGGCAGCGGCACAAAATATTCTTCATTGCCATGTATCTTGCCGACAGAGGGGAAGACGACAGTTCCAGTCAACATCATTTCCTTAAAACTTGAATCTGGAGAACGTAGCTTTTTCACATTTACATTTTTTTTGTGAAAAAAATGAGAATTATTGGGGCCGGCGCTGTGGCGTAGCAGGTAAAGCCGCCACCTGCAGTGCTGGCATCCCATATGGGCACCGGTTTGAGTCCCAGCTGCTCCACTTCCAATCCAGCTCTCTGTTATGGCCTGGGAAAGCAGTAGAAGATGGTCCAAGTCCTTGGGCCCCAGCACCCGTGTGGGTGACCCGGAAGAAGCTCCTGGCTCCTGGCTTTGGATCAGCGCAGCTCCAGCAGTTTCGGCCAATTGGGAAGTGAACCAGCGGTTGGTTGGTCTCTCTCTCTGCCTCTCCTTCTCTCTATGTAACTCTGACTTTCAAGTAAAATAATAAAAAATAAAAATAATAAAAAAGTATGCATACAAATTTCTGTTGCATACTGAAGAATGATGGCTATCTTTAAAAAGCACTTGTGCAATTGTTAAGATGTGACCAGCACCACTTGCTTTTCCAGTGTTGTTTCCAGTGTTGTGCTATTTTTGCTGGAAAGAAGGGCTGACAGATAGAACTGTGATCGTTCAGGTTTGGGTATCTAGCAGACATTTTCTCAAAAATGAGCAGATTCTGTCACTTCAAGGAAAAATAGCTGGCAATATTAGCTGCCAGTGATAACATGTGAACTCTGCAGCAAAAATTAGAATTGTGAAAAATGTGTGTCTGCCATCAGGAGCTCGACAACTGCCTAAGTTTTCCAAAAAGACCAATGCTGACATCAATAAGCATCATTTTTTGATCTTGTGCAATGGAATATGTCAACATTTAGAAAATCTGCATACCTCTGTTATCTCAGAACAAAACTTTCCGGATGACCAATGCATGATGTGACCAAATTATGCATGGGTGAAATACCCATCCAACATGCAAGACGGAC